TTATGTGAAGTATGATCAAGACTGATTGACAACAGCACATATCTTACCATGCAGTTGCTGGATTTGGCAGCCTGTTAATGGATCTCGTTGATGACTTGTGACCTCAAATTAGTAGATGAGGCATCAACAATCCACCTGGATTAACTGTGTCCCCGAAAATAATGTGAATATCTAATATTTTCAGGAAGTTGTTGGTATTCCTTTATTCAACATGGCAACTGAGAGTCCGATGAGAATAGTAGAAAGTAGTGGAGCTGCAAAATGGCCTTCTTCAAGTGATGCTGTAATATTAAATTCACCATTAAATGATGTGGCAGTGGAAGAGTTGAGATTGATATTGAAAGGGCAAAGACTCAGTGGAGATCAAACACATGTGGTGCCTAATCGAAGTGGTAGTGCTCCACCAAGTATGGAGGGTTCCTTTGCAGCCTTCGGTAGCCTTTTCGCTTGGCAAAACTCTAGTCAAGGTTCAAGCTTGGCCAGTTTAAGCAGTGTTACTGAGAATTGCGAGCCTGAGGAGCAATTGCGGTCAGATCCAGCCTATATTTCTTACTATTGGTCCAATATCAATCTGAACCCAAGGCTTCCGCCACCTCTCATATCACGTGAAAACAGGCGCTTGGCTCGTCATATTGGTGATTTTGGTAATAAGTGGAGAGCAACTTCTATCGATGATAGTGGGAATGGATCCTTTCATGCTCCTCAAGGTTCACTTTCTACGCATGAGGAGGAGGATGATGGATCCCCTGATGGTAGTGTCTTGATGGGACAAGACTCAGGATCTTCAACAGGTTTACATAAAAGTTTAGTTGATCTGATACAGGTAGAGGCCTTTCTCCTTCTAATTATATATTAAAATATGCTAGAGAAATTTAGCAAGAATTCATTTTATAATTTCTTAAGCAGACACAATAATGCATTTGACACCTTAGTTGCTAGTAGAAGCTTCTGGAATTAATTCTTTGTTGTAACATTCAGAAAGGCAAAGGCACTTGTTCTTTTAGTCTTCTTAGTTTGGCCTGCAAGTACTCCTAATCATGCTAGGAGTTGCACTTCTGGTGGACATTAAGACCCATTTTGGACCACTCATAAAAGACTAGTAAATATAGAGCTTGTAGCTGCTAAAGTAGCCTTACTATGACACTGTAAATTAAAGATTTACCTTTTGTAGTAAAAAACAGTAGGGCAAACTATAAAAAGAATTGATCAGTGGCTGAGAGATGGTTTTGTTTAACTTCATAGTGCCTATTATAGCATTGGTTGGGATCAGTTTGAAGGGTTCATTATGTTAAAATTTACTGGCATTTGATAACTTTGCTGTGGAGCTAGTATGGATATTTTTTGATGCATCTGGTACTATTACTCATATGGCTGTAATTGTGTCTTCATGCCAAATCTCTTGTAATCTGCTGCTGTTGAATATAATGCTCCAGAGTGTCCATAAAAACAAAAGATGTATGTTATCTTGTGATGGCTATGTGTTCATGTGTATGTGTGCATAGAGATGTTGACTGTAAGCCATGCCTGTTCTTTTTTAAGTTTCCTGTTGAGCAGATGAATTACATTTTTTATGCATATCATATCTCATGTTATGTCTTCTGAGAAACCTATGTGCCGCACCACAAGTTCTTGTTATTTTTTATTTATAGACTTGATATTTTAAAGTATTATTACTTGCTAATTGTTTACTTCAGATTTTATGTCTAATTATAATTAAGTAGCGTGCGATACTCTTTATTTCATTAACTGCTAAATGCTTGTGCAGTCATTGATTCCTGTTATGCATTCATTTTCTTGGTGATATGCAGGAAGACTTCCCCCGCACGCCTTCCCCTGTGTATAACCAGTCTCGTTCCTCAAGCCTTGCTACAACAGAAGAACCAGTTGATCATGATGTGCATGTGACCTCCCCTAACCTCTCGTCTGGTAACATTTCTAAAGCATTGGAAGCAAATATGGGCTCTTCTGGTGTTTGTATAGATACTCGCCCCTTGGCTACCCATGCACTTGCATCAATATCCACCAATGACTCTTTGGAGGCCTCCATCTCTGGATCATCCTCACCAGATGTGGTAAGCTTACCAATGCCCTTAAAAGATACTGCAAGTACAAAAAGTACTGGATTGGAGGATGATGCCTCAAGTGGTGTCCTTCATTCAGTTGTCTCCAGCGTAGAGTCTAGAGTAAGAAAGAAACAAGAAGCCCAGCAATCATATGGAAGAAATATGCCACAACAGTATCAGCCCATGCAACAAGGCAGTGCATATCAGACTCATGTCCTTCCTCAGGGAATGAGTCATCCACATGGTTTAATGGAAAAACTTAACCATGGTTATTCCAAATTCTCTTCTGCTGAGGCACAACCATTGCATTCTCCTGGTCTTACACCCGCGTTGTATCCAACAACAGCAGCCTATATGACTTCAGGAAATACATTTTACCCTAATTTTCCATTGTCTGGTTTATATGCTCCACAATATAATGTAGGTGGATATGCTCTGAGTCCTGCAGTAATTCCTCCATTCATGGCTGGATTTCCTTCCCATTCTGTTGTTCCTGGGCCATTTGATTCTACCTCTGCCTCAGGCCTCAATCGACCTTCTGGTGTGTCAACTGGGGAAAGCATTACAAATGCAGGTGATTTACAGCATGTTAGTAGGTATTATGGCCAACCTGGATTAGTGCTGCAACCTTCTTATATGGATCCGCTTCAAATGCAATACATTCAACATCCTTTTGGCAACATATTTGGTCCTTCAGTTCAACATGGTGGTCGGTTGGAATCAATTGGTGTTTCTGGGGGTCCACCAGATTCTTTTATGCAGAAAGAGTCTTTTATTGCTGCTTATATGACTGATCAGAAACATCATCCCCCAGGAAATGGGAGCCTTGGCATACCAAATCCAGGAAAAGTGGGAATGGGAGGCAGTAGTTATTATGGTGTCCCCCAAAGCATGGGTGTTGTGGCCCAGTTCCCCACATCTGCACTCTCTAGTCCAGTATTGCCATCATCACCAGTAGGTGGAATGAGTCATCTAAGCAGACGAAATGAAATGAGATTTCCTCAAGGTTCAGGTAGAAATGCAGGACTTAATTCTGGATGGCAAGGACAAAGAGGAGTGAACAACTTTAATGACTCCAAAAGGCCTTCTTTTCTTGAAGAACTGAAATCAAGCAATGCCCGAAAATTTGAACTTTCTGATATATCTGGTCGTATAGTTGAATTTAGGTATTTTCCTCTACTAAGTTTGTTTCTGTCACTGAATAATCTGATTATAACCTTCAATATGAGAAATAATTTGTAAATTATGTTTGACTTTGACATCAGTGTTGATCAACATGGGAGCCGTTTTATTCAGCAGAAGCTGGAGCACTGCAGTGTTGAAGAGAAGGAATCTGTTTTCAAAGAAGTTATTCCGCACGCTTCAAGGTTAATGACCGATGTTTTTGGGAATTATGTTATTCAGAAGGTATGTTCTTAAAATTAGTTAGCTTTTCCATATATGTGTGATTTTCATGAAGTATGCAGCTGTAATTCAAATTATTTTAATGGTATGGTTTAAATTACTTAATTATGGTTGCTTTGTTGTAGTTTTTTGAGCATGGTAGCCCTCAGCAGAGAAAAGAACTTGCAGATCAACTTGTTGGAGATATGTTGTCTTTAAGTTTGCAAATGTATGGTTGCCGCGTTATACAGAAGGTAAGATGAAGTTTCTTTTTGAAAGATAAATAATCTTGCTATTTCAAAACTCAAGTGGTAGCTAACTTCCTTTTTTTTTCTTTTCTTTATTCCTGATGAATAAGTGGTTGCTAACTTCTTGGTTGTTTACTAATGGCATACATAACTATATACAAATAAACCAAAAGTTTTAGTAATAGCCCCCCCCCCAACACACACACACACACACACATACACAAACACGTACACACGTACACACATTCATACATACATGTGCCAAGTGTTTAATATGTAAACAGGGTATGCACATGCATGCACACACGCACATGTGAATACATGCATATGTACATAACCCAACAGTTCAAATAGTAACAGGGACACATGTGGGACCACATACACACGTGTGTCCATTCATTTGTACATACATGCCTAATCCAAAAGTTTAAACAGTGGCTGTGGAAATATTAAATAATGTGTGCAGGTGTTGCATCCACATATATTCCCAACAGCCTTAAGTCGTGTAAAGATATTTGAGCTTTTGGGGTTAGTTTAAGAAAGAAACCTGTCTACAAGCTCCTAAGGTGGGCTTGAAGTTGAGGAAATCAAGATTCTATTTTAGGGTAACAGCAAGAGTTTAAGTTTAGAACTTGAATAAATGAAGAACGTGCAAGTTTAGGTCTATTTAGGAAGTTGGCAGCAGAGATTATCTTAACTTGGAGAATAATGGATGCAGACTATTCCTTGACTCTATACTAATTACTAATAAATAACCAATTAGCACCCAAATATAAAATAAAAATATTAACGCCTAAACTTTCAAAGTCACAAGAATAACCTAAATTTAACCAAATGGCATGAATGATCCTCAACTGGAATATCATTGCAGAAATAACAATTATGCCATTGAAAATAAACAGATGGCTTATAATATGCATCAGTATTCTCCCGAAATATTGAGATATGATTGATATCATTGTTGTTTTTCTTCTTTCTTTCTTTTTTTTTAATTTATAATTCCATTCGTAGAATCTAAATTGTTCAAATGGGTTCTGAGTTCCAGTTATAAATGAGAAAAGTAAGAGATGACATGCTGATGATAATTGTAATAACCAATTTATGTGACTCAATCCTCTGTTTCATGGTTTTCCAGGCCCTTGAAGTGATTGAGGTTGATCAAAAGACAGAACTTGTCCATGAGCTTGACGGACATGTTATCGTATGTGTACATGATCAAAATGGAAATCATGTGATACAAAAATGTATAGAGTGTGTCCCTGTGGAGAAAATTGGATTTATAATTTCTGCTTTCCGTGATCAAGTTGCAACACTTTCTACTCATCCCTATGGTTGCCGTGTCATTCAGGTGATAGCTCAGTTTCTTGGTCTCTGGAGTCTTCATGTGGAGATGACAAGCAGTAATCATTTATTCCATTGACAGTGTTTGTATAAACTATAATGCTTTTATTTTTTTGATAGAGAGTTTTGGAGCATTGTTCAGATGGGCTGCAAAGTCAGTGTATAGTGGATGAAATCCTAGATGCTGCTTGTGGTCTTTCTCAAGATCAGTATGGCAATTATGTTATTCAGGTTAGAATTTTAGTTTTGTCTTAGTTCCTATATTTTGTGGTGTGACATGGTGTTTGAAAGGTTGTGTTTTCTTCAATACCAGACCTTGTCTTCACAATGACAGTCAATGCTCACTTGACTAGGTCTTTTAATTCATCAATTGGTTGCTTGCAATATGTTGTTCATGTTGTGCACGCACAAATTTTGCGTTTTGCTAGTAATGCTGCTCGATAGATTATAGGAAGGGTGTTGAGATTTTTTGTGATTGCCGTATAGGTAATCTTGCACTGTCATTGACACATTTTATACTTAAATATCATTAGTTAAACATCAAACTGAAATGGTTGTTTGACATGCCAAATGATATTCTGTTGAGGGACATTTTTTGTTGGTGATGACCATTCTTCAATGTTTGATGGAGCTCTTCCACTTAAAGATTTTAGGTGGACTTATCTTTATTGGGTATTTAAGAGCTAGTTTTAGTATATTGGGCTGATTTTAATTTTTCGTCAATTTTAAGGATTTATTATTAATTTACTTTTAAGTTTTGGCCTAGGGTTACTGAACATGTGAATAGATCTTTTACAACTATTTGAGTAGTTTTGAATGATTAAGAAAACTTTTGAAAAATCTTATTATTCTTGCTATTTTACTCTTTCTATTTCCTAAATTCTCGTCCCTTTTCCTCTTAATTCTGCCTCCTTTACCCTGAAACCTTTTTTGGTCATTTGATGGGAAACAATGGGTTTGAAACTTGGATAGACTGACATTTGCTGTGACATTGTCTAAGCATTTCTTTTGAATGCAAAGGGCACTTCCCCTTGAACTAGAACTTTTAAGTAACACCACAGAATTTGATCTTTGAGCTCCAATTGACAATATGAATGAACCTTCTATTCGCTGGGCTTTTAATGGCTAGCTGTGGTTTCAGCTGTGGATGAGTTTAGGCTGTTTCTAAATCTCTTACTGATTTTTTGCAATCTCATTTCGATCCTCCTATTGACATTAATGTTAAGATGATTTATACTGCTTGCAGCATGTTTTGGCCAGGGGAAAGCCATATGAAAGAAGCCATATCATCAACAAGTTGACTGGAAAAATTGTGCAGATGAGTCAGCATAAATATGCATCTAATGTTGTTGAGAAGTGCTTGGAGTATGGAGATAATGCTGAGCGGGAGTTTTTGATTGGGGAGATCATTGGAGGGCCTGACAAAAATGATAATTTACTGGTAAGTTCAATTAAAATTCAGAATTGCAAGTTATTACTCTTCTTAATTTCTGTCTGGAGGTTTGTGCCTCTGTTATGAAGCGATTTTTCTGTTGTCAAATTGCTTAATTTTCCAATGAAATTTGACATCTTATCACCTCTTTCCAGATTTCTCGAGGAGTGATTGTACCTGTTTGTAGCATCTATGTTTAACCAAAATGCTCAACTCATCATAAATTTTTCTTTGGAAAAGCATACTAAATTCATGGAGAATGAGTTTTATAGACTTCTAGAGCATGTTTGGTGTAGGGGACTGGCTATCTCATGAAAATAAAGGAAAATATGAGAGAGTATGACAAAGTAGGAATTGTTATCACCTATTTTCTTTTAATAAGTGGGAATTAGGTGGTAATAGCTATTATTTCCTGTACTATGGCCTATAGGTTTTGGCTCTATTCCTTTCTCCCCCTAATTAAAAGAAAGTCGATAATAGCTATTCATTTGTTGCCACACTCCTGTTATTTTACTCTATTTTCGCATATTAGCATGAAATAGTCATTCCACCTATCAAACATTCTCTTAGGTCATAGTCCTCACTCTGAGCAAATGCAGTTGATCAGTTTTCTCTCACATTCCACCAATTTCCTTGACAGTATTTTATCATTATACCATAAGTTTGAATGAATCAAATTACCAATTATTGAGAAGTATAGCATATTCCTGATGCAAAATGACAATCTAATTAATTCTTCACTATTCTGTCAAGAAATAATAACATCTCGGATATGTGATGTATCTCCAGTTGGCTGTCAATTCAGGCTTTATGTGAATATAAAGTAGTGATTCTGATGTCTTGAATCTCATGATAACTTGCATTAGGAATTATATCTGGTTGGTCAGTGTTCGTAGATTATCATTACAGAATTTGGATCCTATTTTTGCTTATGGAATATGTGGCTTTTGACTTTTGTATACTAGACTATGATGAAGGACCAATTCGCAAATTATGTGGTCCAGAAGATTCTTGATGTAAGCAGTGACAGGCAACGGGAAGTATTGCTCAACTGTGTAAGAGTTAATCTTCATGCTTTGAAGAAATACACCTACGGGAAACACATGGCTGCTCGATTTGAACAACTATCTGATGAAGGTAAGTGCATTTTCTGTTAATTCTATTAATGCATGCATCATTATGATTAGATTCTCACAATTTAGTGGAAGTTATCTTGGATATGTGCATGTTTGTTGGTACAATCACAAGGCTTGATGCAATGTTTCACTTTTCGAAGCAAAAATATTTAATTGGGAAAAGAAATTGCGGTTTCTTATTATTGATCTGGTTCTTTTGCTGCAAATGTTATTGTTGTTTAAAGTAGAACCTGATAGACCAGAAAAGGGGAAACTAGATTCTTACATAAACCAACAGGATAAAAAATGTTTTTGAATAAATCCTCTTGTTAATAATATTAAATAGTTAAATTCAATAGATAGAACAAAGGCTACCTTTTTGAGAGTCTTAAGACAAATTTTTGGAGCATGTACAGTATTAACAAGATGTTTTCATTTGGTAAAAAGTGTCCATTAGAGTTATTATCCATTAGATATATAAGCTCTACGCTATCCCATAAACCCACCACATTCCATCTTAACTATATTTTGAACATGAGAACTAAACATACATTGGGGGAGTTGGAATTTGGAGTGTTCTCTAAAGGCTGTGTTCATATTCTCTGTTTTCATACTTTTATAGGGTTTTAAGGGACTATATGATAAATTACAGGAACACAACATTCTGAAGATGCAGAAAGTGAAGGCTTGCAACATTGAAGCAGGTTTAGGATGAGCAGCTTCGATTTGAATGTTGTTCATTGCTGGTGGATGACTAATTGCACACAAAATTGTTTGGAAATGATCCACCATACACCCTAAAATTTATGCGTATTTTTAGTTTGAAGTTTTAGTAAGTAAATATGTAATTATATGGTTTCAACTCTATTTATGTGCACCTTAATTTAAAGAATGTATTTATGTGTATTATGTGTTGCACATATAGGGTGAATAAAACAAGACAGATAAGTGATTCATAGTAAAGCAGGGTTCTTTTTTCATTTGAGACATCTATATTTATATGGAAGACAAAAAAAGGGAAGATACTATTGTGGTATAGATTTTCAAATCACAACCTTGAAAATTGTCTTTCAATCTCCTTCTCATCATAAGCATAGCCTCTTCGTTTTTCCCTTTTTCTTTTTTCATTTTTTGTAATGATAACTCTCTTCTCACATTCAGGTTTCCAAATGCTTTCTAGCATATGTAAACATGTGGTAATAATGCTCCTTTCTTCTAAATCCTTCCATTTTGTCCAATAAATATTGAGCTCTCATTAGTTGAAACTTGTAACATGAGGGTATTCTGTATGTCGGTTTGAATATAATGGTCAGTTATTTTTAATATAAAAATGTTTATTTATTAATTAAATAAAATTGTTAACAATTAATTTCATATTGCAGTGCTAAAAACGTTGCAGAGTAATTATATGAAACGGGAAGGTTCATACTTGAGAACCAGAGTGTTACAAGTGCTGTTCGGAATTTGTTTTCTAAGTGAAACCAAAATCGCTACAACAATTAGAACAAAAATGAAAACATTAAAAAAAAAAGTTAGTTTGATTTAGTAAAAAAATAATATAAATATATAATCAAATAATTGTTATAAAGTCTGAATTATGATAAATTATATAACTAAAATAAGTTTGTTAAACTGAATTTTTGAATTCAGTGATTCATCTTTAAATTTAAAATATTTGGGTTTAGTTGGTTAAAAATTTGATTCTCATTAATAATTTGAAAAAATATCCCTCCTCTCTCAAATTTTTTAATGTTCCAAAAAAGAAAAAAACATAAAAAATAAGTTTATTAACATTAAAAGTTTTTTGATTAATACAATATAATTATAGCCTGTACTACAAAATAAGATTATCATATATGATATTTACTCTCTCTTTTTTTGTGTTCCATTTATTTTTATTTTTAAATTTAAGATTTATTAAATATTTAAGCTTGGCTCACGAGCCTCGACCCAAGCTAGGTTGGGCATGCTCAAGCTCGGCTGCTAGCTGTGCTCGTTTAGCCAACAAATGGAGCCGAGCCTGAGCCCAAGCCCAAGCCCCTGGTTTGTTCTTCCGGCTTTACGCCGTCACCTCAAAACACGGTAGCGGCAGCTATGACCTATTACGAGCGCAGCGCTTCACCTCAAGTCAGCAGCCTCGCTGCTCTCCTCCATATCTCGACTCCAGAAACAACCCTAATGCTCAAAAAAGGTGGCTTTCCTGCAGAATTGCATTCCTTTTTCCTACAGAATAGTAATTACTACGTCAAAGTAAATGCAAACTTCACAGCGTTTCCTCTCCCGCCTCTTCAGCTCTGCTAAACGCTCTTCTTCCATCGACCCATTATTTCCCTTCACCGATTACTGTAAAAGCACCAATCTTTTTCAGTCCCTGTTGTTACCTAACCACAACACTGGCAACGGCAATTCTTTGATACCCCAACTTGGAGGTTTTTCCTTGCTCAATCACCCCACCAAACATGTGCGGGTCTTGGGTTTTGTTTCGTTGGATAATAGCCATTGCTTAACTTACCAGCGAAGTACGTATTTTTGTCATCTGCTATGCTTCCCAATCTTTTTTTTTTTTTTGGCTTTCCCTGTTATTTGGATTTGTTTGGTTGTGTCTGCAGGTCTTTTTACCAGGGCTAAACAGGTAAAGATTGAATTCAATGATCAGCACAGGTATCCTTCCCTTTTTTTTTTATGCATTTGTTGAAATACCAGTGTCAGTGTGGCTTTATGTTGACAAAGGAGGCGTTGGAAGAGCTACTTTAAACCAGAATGATATTTGCTAGAAATTGTCAGTAATGCTAACTTGGTCAGTAGTAGTCTGATAAAGATAGTTCCTCGAATTACCATATTCTGAGAATTGGTTATAACTTGCAAGTAATAGCCACTTTATGACTCTGATCTGATGGTAGAAGGCTTGACATTGTTGTTCAAATGGTGAATATTAAAATCACCAGTTTTCAATCTGTTCATTATTTTGTAATCCTTTCATCTTTTTGTGTTAACGGCTTCAATTTCTTTTATTCAAGTCAACGAGCTGTTACAACTGCACTGTGGTGCAATTTTCTTGTCTTCTCTCTCAAGTTTGGTGTCTGGTGGACAACCTCTAGCCATGTGATGTTGGCTGAAGTGGTTCATTCTGTTGCAGATTTTGCTAATCAGGTACTTCATTCTTTTTTGACTGTTTTAGAATTAAATGGCAGTGTCTTGCATGGTTGCTTTATGTTTAACAAAGATTTTTGCTTAATGAATGCAAAGAGACTAATTCTAGTTGACATTGTAGGCACTTCTTGCTTATGGTCTGAATAGTTCAAGGCGTGCACCAGATGCTCTTCATCCGTAAGTTCTCCTCTCTTGCACTACTGTTGCTCACAATTGATAATATTTTCATTGCCTTTCATTTTTTCCAGCATGGTATCTGATATCCAAACATTTGTGGACATTGGATGCCATTTTGCATAGTTCTGGACAATTGTAGCATTTCTTGGGAATTTGCTTCTCCTTTTTTTTTTTTTTTTATAATTTTAAAAGCACTCCATCCATCTAATATTGAACTTAATTTGATTGTTTTCTCAATTGGGTGCTCATTGTTCAAGAGCAGAACAATCAATAAGTTTATATTAGTTATATCACACATTTTTGACATATGTTGAGACCTTTTAGAAAATCCTATGACTTACTACACATCTAAATGCACATATAACATATGCATTCACAAAACCCTTGTGTATGGAGAAAATAGAACCTCAAACTATTTTTTGGGTTTTTTGGATCTCATAAAACTAATTCTTTTATGGTGTTCAGTTATGGCTATTCCAAGGAAAGGTTTGTCTGGTCCTTGATATCTGCTGTTGGAATCTTCTGTCTTGGCTCTGGTGCTACAATTGTTCATGGAGTTCAAAACTTGTGGTCTTCGCAGGTAATGCTCTTCTTTCTATTAATTTTCCTCACTTCTGGTGCATAAGTATTGCTATCATTCAATTTGGTGTATTGATTTCTACATCTTCTTCAGCCTCCTGCAAATATTCAATATGCAGCTTTGGTGATAGGTGGTTCATTTTTAATTGAAGGTATAACTTGGGGCTGTGTGATTGATGTTGATATATTGTCTCAATAGTTTGTTTACTTACAATCATATTGTTGATCTTTATTTCTTTTCTAAAATCTACTTTTTCTTCTCTTTAGGTGCTTCTTTGATTGTTGCCATACAAGCTGTCAAGAAAGGAGCAGCTGCAGAGGGAATGAAAGTGAGAGACTATATTTGGCGTGGTCATGATCCCACAGCTGTTGCAGTCATGACAGAGGTAATTCATCAAACATTTGTTCACTCATACTATCACCCTTATTGGAGTTGAACTTGGAAAATATGAAATTGGAAAAATCAGACTTCAGGTTTTTAGTTGCTGACTGCTTTGCTTTATAAATCTTGTAAAGTTCCTAAATGTAAAGTATAAACCAGGAAACAAATGTTTGGATCCAATGATGCAATCTTAATTCAAAAATCTAATCCAATTTAATTTAGTGAAGATGTATTTTTACTTAAGCATGTTATTTGATGTTCTTCCTTTCAGTGTCATGATAGGAAAATATAATTAACAAAAGAAAGGATAGTTTGGGCTGAGATAACCAAAGATCTAGTTATTTGGGCTCAGTCCCTAGAAAGTAGGACTTTTGAGTTTTCTTTTGAACTTGTTCAAAATTAATTTGCTTAGTTTGAGCTTGATTTAGTCTTTTGCATGGTTTTCTCCTTGGAGTTATTTACAATTAGGAAAACGGTGATTTGAATTTTTATGAATACTAAATTTGGCTACAAGCTGGACTGTTGATCTCTAATAATATTCCAATGAATGATCTTACTTTTGCAGGATAGTGCTGCAGTAACTGGCCTTGCCATAGCTGCAGCATCACTTGTTGCTGTGAAAACTACTGGCAATCCTATTTATGATCCTGTAGGTTCAATTATAGTGGGCAACTTGCTTGGAATGGTATGATATTCTTGCCTTCACTTTTTTTTTTTCTTTTTTCATTAATGTCACATATGCATGATAATAGTTGTTATATCTTTGTAACATGGGTTGGTTCCAGAAGCTAGCTCTCTCCTAAATAAAGGTTGGCCTTGGTTTTTGCCATGCATTCTATTGAACTTGAAAGCAATATGATACCAGTTTACAACTTTACATGTTATTGTCTTTGTTGGATAATGGAAACTATCATAATAAACTAGGAACTCTTTTCAGGTATTAAGGACTTTCTGTAGGGTAATATATAGATTCTTTGGGGGTCTATTTTTCAGTTTTTGACGTATGGCTTTGATATAATGTTTTAGGGCTTAAAGAGTGAAAATGCATGACATTTGTCAGCTGACTTTGAGTGAGGGTTTTCCATTCTATTACAGTAGAACTGGAGCAAACTGAGGAGAGGGATTATTTTACCTATCTAAAAAGCTTGAATCCACAGTTATATAGCAACTCTAGTAGAATGGTTAGAATTTGCCAGCATTTGCTTCTGTAAATCAGTTTCATGGCAAGACTAAATTGTAAAAAGATACTGTGGTGGAGAACTCAAGCTTCAGATAGTGGCACACTGTTGATGGTTAAATTATTGATCTGGATTAAGCGACACTCTCTTAACTTTTATTCATAGGAGCCTCCCGGTTGTTGAGTTTCCTTTATTTCAGATAAAGTTAGTTTCCCTGTTAAATATTTGATGCTGTGTGGTGTGTTTCAGCTATTCTTTTAATTTGTCACGGTGAAATTGTAGTCGCATGAATATTACATGATGGAAGATTGGTGATGGCGATTCCAAGATGCACTTGGTTAATTTTTTATTGATTTATCTTTTTTCATGAGGTCCAAATGTGCATGCACATAAAGGAAAGTAGTGGGAAGGGGTTTAGTATACAGAGAATAGTATTTAGTCAGAATTGAAGGGTTCAAATACATCATAAGAGCTATGGTCTTCTTAACCAACAAATTATTGCAAAAGTTCATCAATGTTTGTTGTTTGCAATGCATTTTAATCCAATTGAGACACTTATGCAGGTAGCTGTATTTCTCATCCAGCGAAACCGGCATGCATTGATAGGTAGAGCAATGGATGACCATGACATGCGGAAGGTTCTTCATCTCTTGAAAAATGATCCGGTATAGCTCTGTTATTGTATTCAAATTTAGGTATCTAGTTCTTGAAAAGTTTTAAACTTCCGAAATATCTTTTTCAGGTTGTAGATGCTGTCTATGATTGCAAAAGTGAAGTGATTGGGCCTGGATTCTTTAGATTCAAGGCAGAGATTGGTCATTCCCTTTCCTGATTTTTCTTAGGATTATCTGTCTCAATATTTTGACCAGGATTTCCTGCGTCCATCCACTGCATTATAATATAAAAGTATCCTACAGAGAAATTAGAGAACCAGTTTACTATCTTTGGCATGACAATTATTTTTATGTAGATGCTATTGATACCTACGGTTATGAATTTCATGCAACAGATTTCAATGGAGTGGTGGTGGTGCAAAATTACCTGAGTAGGACAGGACGCGAAGAGTGGGCAAAACAGGTTGATAATGTTTACCTCTAATCTTTCATCTTTAGTACCAGTCCAGAAGAGATATCGATTTTGAATGTTACTGTTACTGCAAACGTTGTTGTACAGTTTCGTGAAGCCGCAAAGGAGAAAGATGATTGTGCGTTGCTCAAAATCATGTCAAACTATGGTATGGTATAGGCATTGTCAATGGTTTGTTTGAGCTGTGCATTGTTATACCAGTGATGAGAGTTGTCCTTCCTTGCAGGGGAAGAAGTAGTTACAGCTTTAGGAAGCGAAGTTGATCGACTGGAGAAGGAGATCCAGGACCTTGTTCCCGGTATTCGCCACGTCGATATTGAGGCACACAATCCCATAGACATGTCATCATCGTAAGTCCCATATTTTCTTTTTTGGGTTTTTTCTTTGTCAATGAAAGTGCCGAACCAGAAACTCATTCATCATAGAGCAAACAACTTGACTGTCATTCTTCAGTTGGATGTATATCATACATTGTCCTAAATGAAAGGTACAAAAAACACATTTCCTGTGTAAAAGCCAATCGATGTCTATATAGAGAGATATGCTGGTAACATACATCTATTTACCCACTCGCTCTCTGATCATCTTGACCCCGACGTACCTTCCCAGCATCATGAGACTGGCCTGAGGATTGGTGCCCGGCGATAGGGTGAAAGTTGAGCCGTCGACCACCCGAAGTCCTCCAATACCAATGACATTGAATTTTCGGTCAACAACTTTGCCCACCACACACCCACCATGGTAATGCCAGATGGTGCTTACCGTCCGCCGGCAGAATTCTGCCATCTGCCTGAAGTTTGATTGGTCCACCGGCAATGCAGGCCCCACGAACCTGAAATTCCTCCTCCCAAGCCACTCAAGGAACTTGAAATACCCCATCGACCGGCTTCTCAGTACATCCCCGATCCTCCTTGTCCCGTTCACGCAACTTTCCAAATCCACCGGATTGCTGAAGTAATTGAAACGGACTATGGGATTCACCCTCACGTCTGTTGATGCCAGCCTCAGTGACCCTGCTGACACCGGTCCTGGAATTTTCTCCATCAGAGTGGCCACTGTGAGATACAGCCGCGACGACGGTGCTCTGAGGAAAGCAGAGTGCGCAGGGGATGAAAAAGGGATCACATTGGAAGCTGCCTCCACGTAAGAACCCCCCTCTGTTATACCCACCACCTGGATCAGCGAGTGCTCCAAGGGGACCGGCGGCACTATGGATATCCCATTCCGCGGATTATCGTACAGAAACTGCCCCACATGTGGGTGATGATGTGCCACCGGAATTCCCCACGACGATAGATAAGGCCGAGGACCGATTCCACTCAGCAACAGCAGCTGTGGGCTTCCGATTGTACCTGCGCAGAGTATGACCTCGCCCTCCTCGCGCACCATTGCGTGGTGAAACCTTCCAATTGGGTCGCTATAAATCACCCCTATGGCCGATGGGCCGGACCCCGCCTTTGAAGAAGAATGTGCCAACAGTATCCGTTCCACGGTGGCATGAATCCCAACTATGATATTGGAAGCTCTGGCATAACTGAGAAGATCGGCGGCGCTATGCCTTCGTCCTAAACTATCGAATGTAGAACCGCCGATCTTGGTCCCCACCATGTGCTCCAAAGTGAACCCATTATAGGGATCAATTCCAGCCTCCAACAACCCGTCCCTAACAGCCGATTGCCAATTCTTTAACACTGGTCGGAAAACAACCGCCCTCTCCACCCATTCGTAGGATTGGTTGACAAGAGTGAGATCCCAATTGACCCCCGATTTCTGATAAAATTCCTGATCCGCCCGGCTGTAGAAACCGGCGTTGATGGCGCTGCTGCCTCCAAGAACCCGGCCTCTGGCATTGGGGACCCCATCTTCGGAAGTGAAGGCTTGGGCGGGAGAGTCGGGGGTATTGACGTCCATGAGTGTGGCCAAGAATCCTTCTTGGTTCATCAGGTTCGGTTTCCCATATGCAACGCCGCCTCTTTCGAGAACAAGAACCCGGAAAGACTGTGACAGTGTGGCAGCCAATGGGCATCCGGCCGTCCCACCTCCAACAATTATGTAGTCGTAGTAGTCCTCGGATGGCAAGTCCGTCGAGTTGAACACAAAGCTCGAGTAAATGGGCTCTGTCTCTGTAAAAATCCAGTGATTAATTCAGCTTTCTTGAACGAAGCAAGAAATGGTATTAATTCTGGGGAACCAAACAAGAAGTTAAGGAAAATACATAAAAGTTAAAGTGGGAGAAATCAAAGCTCACCATGTTGTTGAGATCGTGGTGTTGCTTGAGAAGGAGAAGCAACGGAAGAAAAGAGCAGGAAGAAGGCGAACGCAATGCAGGAAATGGGTGTCGCCATGTTGGGAGAGTGAAACGGAGGTTTCAGCGACTTCAGGGGAGAGTGAGAGGGAGAAGATGAAAGAGTAGAGAAAAAGGCGGTATCATTTGGTTAAACGAACAGTTGAGAATAGACTGTATATTGTATCAATTACCATTTTTAATTACTACTACGTAAATATCCCAAAAAAATAAAATAAAATAAAATTACTACTACCTAGTTTTTATTTATCTAGATTTACTCATTAATTTTATTTTGAATTTCATGTATTTTAATGCACATTGTATATTAAAAATATAATTTTAATATTAAATTACTAAATTACTATGATAATTTTGATAATTTTATTTTAATATGTAATCTAATATGAAAAGCTTTTTTTTGTTTTATTTTTATCAAAAAAAAAAACTAATAAGAGAGAGTTGAAACCCATGCTAACTTATAAAAACTTTAAGAAATTAAAAAAAAAAAAAACAAAAGTAAGAGGCACTAATATTAAAGGGGTCATAAACCATTAAATATGTAAAATATTAGGATTGATCTAATTTTATCATATTAATTAATTATGTAACTATCTCTAAAATCATCTAGCCCTTGGGGCTAAGTGGTTTCTGACCACATAAAATGCATTCTCCCCTTCCCGGGCAGGGTTCAAACCCATCCCGAACCCATCCCATGTAATACTGTTCAAAAAAAAAAAATGTAACTATCTCTAAAATCAAAATATTCATCATGTAGCTATTGATTTCCCAATTTTCTTCCTTCTTTTTCAAAAAGATAATATTTAAGAAAAAAAAAAACCTCGAATCAATTCATTCATTATTCATAGAAGAAAAAAAAATTCATTAACTAAATGAGAATTTTATTAATTATGTCTGTTCCCACTGTATAATGATTTTTTAATTAAAAAAAAAAGTATGATTTGAGTTTGAGCTCAAATGTATGGACTCAGCTTGTAAGTAAGTTGGACTTTATAGTCTTAAAAGTGTGTTGGACTAATTTATAAATAGTGGGCTGGACTAAAATTTATAATATAATTTTATAATAGTAGGCCGGACTTCACAGGGGGGTGGCCCGGTGGGAAAATTTACATCACCGCTACCATGAGTCCAGTTCATCTAGAACAAAACTTTAGGAGATGGGATTCAAGGCCCAGAGGCAGAGTGGGGTTGCTGTGGTATAAAATTTTGGAAAGGGTTTATATATGGGATGGTATCTGAACTTATCGTTTTGAGTTATTTTGTTTTCTAAACTTTTTTTTTTCTTGAAATGGTGTCTAAATTTAATTTTGCCAGCTCTTTCTTAATCCTTTTGTTAAGCTTCCAAAAAATTCATCTCTCTCTTTTTTCTTTTTTTCTTTTTTAAACTCAAAATTACATGGAAATCAAGAAATTAATTATTAGGAAACTCAAATCCACATGTTGAGGGGTTTCTTATCCCTCTCTTTGATGATTTTAATGTATTTCTAATTGATGCATTTGTTTCAAAAAAAAAAATTTCTCTAAAAAGGATTTGTTCAAAAAAATTGTTGGATTAATTTGTTGACATGGATAAATTACAACTTTATTAGTTGGGTTAAACCACAAAAAATAAAGCAAGTTTGCAGGCGAATTTGGACTTTACAACTTAAAAAAAAAGAAAGATTGATGACTAAGAGTATAATTTATCAGGTTTTGCTTGAATGTACAAAGCCAAATAATTGGAAGAATGCATCCCTATTCCCTAAGTAAGACTATTTCAATATAAGATTTTAAATGAGCCAATAATGGACTGTTAGAAGCCTTTGATTATCAACTTTATTAAATGAAAATGAGAAAGAACAGAAAAAAATAATAATAATAATGATTAAAAAGGTAGAGTATAAATAAAGGAAGACAATAATATAAAGTTGGTGGTACGAGAAAGGAGGGTTCCGAAAAGATTCATATCGAAACCGCACATGGCGAGACCCACATCGTCAGATATTTTTATACATTGTTATTATTATTTTTTTACAAGAATAATGATTAATAGTTATGTTAAAAATTATTAATAACCGGAGATTTAATTCCCAAAATAGATGATCTTTCACCCCTTCATTGAGACGCGTGACCCATCAAACCGGATAGTGGAGTTCTATATTGTTAATTTTTATTTCTAGTGTATTAATTTTATGGTCCCACAATTAACATAAAAAAAATAAAGGTAATTATATGTTGATAGTATATTGTTCAACTTTGAAAAAATGTTTAAATAAAAATACTAAATTTGTACTTTTTTTTAAATGTTAATTTTGTTATTTTTTATTTTTT